CTGCTAACATCAACTCAATTCCCATGCTAAATGGGACAAACTTCAAGGTTTGGAAAGAGAACATATTAATTGTTCTTGGCTGCATGGATCTTGACTATGCATTAAGAACTGAACAACCCCAACCTCTCAATGCGGATAGCACTCCTGATGCAAAGAAGGAGCATGAGAAGTGGGAGCGTTCAAATCGCATGAGTCTTATGATCATTAAGCGCGGCGTTCCGGAAGCCTTCAGGGGCATAGAATCCGAAGGGATTACTAAGGCTAAAGATTTCCTTGCCGAAATTGAGAAGCGTTTTGCGAAAAACGATAAGGTAGAAACAAGCACGCTTTTAGCTCGCTTGATTTCAATGAAGTATAAGGGCAAAGGAAATATCAGGGAGTACATTATGGAAATGTCTCATATTGCTTCAAAGCTTAAGGCACTTAAACTCGATCTTTGTGACGAGTTATTAGTGCATCTGGTTTTGTTGTCTCTTCCTGCACAGTTTAACCAATTTAAGGTCAGTTATAACTGTCAAAAGGAGAAATGGACTCTAAATGAGCTCATTTCATACTGTGTGCAAGAAGAAGACAGGTTGAAGCAAGATAAGACAGAAAGTGCTCATTTGGCCTATGCCTCTAAGGATAAGGGCAAGAAAAGGAAGAATGATAAGGAAGCTGCTAAGGGTCCAGTTGAGAAGAAACAACATAAGGATAATCAGGGTTGTTTCTTCTGTAAGAAGCCTGGACATGTAAAGAAGGACTGTACAAAATATCACGCCTGGCGTGATAATAAGGGTACGTTCCTTGCTTTGGTCTGTTCTGAGGTTAATTTAGCTTCAGTACCTAGAAACACTTGGTGGTTAGACTCTGGTGCTACTACTCACATAAGTGTTTCTATGCAGGGTTGCCTGAGCTACCGAAAGCCAAGTGATGTTGAAAGACACATCTTTGTGGGCGACGGACAATCGGTAGATGTGGAAGCAATTGGGCACTTTAGGTTGTTGTTAGGAACTGGTTATTATTTGGATTTAAAAGATACTTTTGTAGTACCGTCTTTTAGACGGAATTTGGTTTCTGTTTCTGTATTGGACAAATCAGGTTATTCTTGTTCATTTGGAAACAGTCAATTCAGTTTATCTTTTAATTCAAATGTTGTGGGAACCGGTTACTTGAGTATTTATGACAACCTATATTTGCTTGATACAATTGCTTCTTACAATGAATCCTTGCATGTGGAATCACGTGGTACTAAGCGTAAATTAAATAAGGAAAATTCGGCGACATTATGGCATAAGCGCTTAGGTCATATCTCAAAAGGTAGAATTGAGCGTCTTGTGTCTGATGGCATTTTGGATTCCCTTGATTTTTCGGACTTCGACGTATGTGTTGAATGTATCAAGGGAAAACAGACCAAAGTGAAAAGATTAGGTGCCAACAGATCTTCGGATGTCTTAGAATTGATACATACGGATATTTGTGGGCCATTCCCTACGGAATCCTGGAATGGTCAACAATATTTTATATCATTCATAGACGATTACTCACGTTATGGGCACCTATATCTTATTCATGAAAAATCTGAGTCTCTGGACATGTTCAAAGCCTATAAAGCTGAAGTTGAGAATCAACTCAACAGAAGAATTAAAACCGTCAGATCTGATCGTGGTGGTGAGTACTACGGTAGATATGATGGTTCAGGTGAACAACGTCCAGGACCATTTGCTAGATACCTAGAGGAATACGGTATCGTCCCACAGTACACCATGCCGGGTTCACCTAGCATGAATGGTGTAGCTGAAAGACGAAACAGGACTCTTAAGGATATGGTAAGAAGTATGATTGCTCATTCTTCTTTACCAGAGTCACTCTGGGGAGAAGCACTTAAGACAGCAGCTTACATTCTGAATAGAGTACCAAGTAAAGCAGTTGCTAAAACACCTTATGAGCTTTGGACTGGTCGAAAGCCCAGTTTAAAGCATTTACATATTTGGGGATGTCCAGCTGAGGCAAGGCCTTATAGGCCAAATGAAAAGAAATTGGACTCCAAAACAGTTAGCAGCTACTTTATTGGATACTCTGAACGCTCTAGGGGCTTTAAGTTTTATGATCCCACTATAAGGAACATTTTTGAGACGGGAACAGCAACATTCTTTGAGGATGTTGAGTTTGGGGGGAGAAATAAGGTTAGAGACATTAGTTTTGAGGAGGAATTGGCTTCAGATCCAATCCATACAGTTACTTTTGACAATATTCAGGTTCCTATACCTGTTGTTGCTCAAGAAGTAAATCCGGAACCTCAAGATGATAATGTTGAACAACTCCCTGTTCCAGAAGAACAAACTCAACAACCTCAAGAACCAGTGCCATTAAGGAGATCCACGAGAGAAAGGAGAAATGCTATTCCGGATGATTATATTGTATTTCTCCAAGAACATGAGGAAAGTAGTGGAATGTTAGAAGATGATCCAATCAACTTCTCTCAGGCCATGAAAAGTTCTAACTCTCAACAGTGGATTGATGCCATGAATGAAGAGTACAAGTCTATGCAAGACAATAAGGTTTGGGAACTTGTCCCATTACCAGAAGGTGCAAAACCAATTGGTTGTAAATGGATTTTTAAAACCAAGCGGGATGCAAACGGTAATGTGGAGAGGTATAAGGCACGTCTTGTGGCTAAAGGCTATACTCAAAAGGAAGGCATTGATTATACAGAGACTTTCTCTCCGGTTTCATCGAAAGACTCTTTCAGAATAATCATGGCACTTGTTGCTCATTATGATCTTGAGTTACATCAGATGGATGTTAAGACTGCATTTCTCAATGGAGACATTGATGAGATGATCTATATGGTGCAACCAGAAAACTTTGTGTCGGGAGACCCAAAGAATATGGTCTGCAAATTAAGGAAATCCATCTATGGACTCAAGCAAGCTCCTCGTCAATGGTATCATAAGTTTCAACAAATAGTTATCTCGTTCGGTTTTGAGATGAACATTGTTGATGACTGTGTATATCACAAGTTCAGTGGGAGTAAGTATATTTTTCTGGTTCTGTATGTGGATGACATCTTGCTTGCCACTAATGATATAGGCATGTTGCACGAAACCAAGAGATTTCTATCAAAGAATTTTGAGATGAAAGATCTTGGGGACGCCTCTTTTATATTAGGGATCCAGATACATCGAGATCGCTCTCGGGGTATTCTTGGATTATCACAAAAGAGCTATATCGATAAGGTACTTAAAAGGTTTGGCATGCAAGATTGCAGACCAGGTGACACCCCTGTTGCTAAAGGAGACAAGTTTAGTCTCAATCAGTGCCCTAAAGGTAACCTTGAAATTCAGGAAATGCAGAAGATTCCTTATGCTTCGGCTGTAGGAAGTCTAATGTATGCTCAGGTATGTACGCGTCCGGATATTGCGTACATTGTTGGGATGTTAGGCAGATACTTAAGCAACCCTGGTATGGATCATTGGATAGCAGTCAAAAGGGTTATGAGGTATCTTCAGAAAACAAAAGATTACATGCTCACATACAGAAAATCAGAGAAATTAGAGGTCATTGGGTATTCGGACTCTGATTTTGCTGGATGCCAAGATAGCAGGAAGTCTACATCAGGCTACATTTATATGTTAGCAGGAGGAGCTATATCATGGAAAAGTGTCAAACAAACACTAGTAGCTTCCTCCACTATGGCAGCAGAATTTGTAGCTTGCTATGAGGCATCCAATCAGGGAATATGGCTGCGAAATTTTGTCACGGGACTGCGCATTTTGGAAAATGTTGAAAGACCACTAAGGCTATATTGTGACAATAAATCTGCAGTAATGTATTCCAATAACAACAGGAGCTCAACTAAGTCAAAACATATTGACATTAAGTTCCTGGTTGTGAAAGAAAGGGTACAGAGTGGACAGATATCCATAGAGCACATTGGGACAAACTCCATGTTAGCTGATCCTCTTACTAAGGGATTGCCACCTAAGGTCTTTCATGAGCATACTGCTCATATGGGTGTGGTATTATTTGAGGATATTATGTTTTAGTGGGAGTTTGTATTTGTGGTGCTTTATGTTTGTTTGTATTGTCTGATCAGAATAAAGTTTTCAGTTAAGACACTCTGTTACATTATGTTTGGTTTTGACCTCACTAAGGAGGACCAGTTGAAAATAGACATGTACTGATCACATTGCATGTAATTTTCATGCTGCACATCCATGATTGATCTATGTCGTTTGATTGTATTGGTATATGTGACCATTGATGGGTCGAGTCACGATAAATGTGACGAAGGCCGCTTTGATCCTATATTGATATAGTCAATGGACGAGATTGTTCGGAAATACCTTTTCAGTGATAGCAATTTTTGAGCTCATAAGGTTATACACAATTTAAGGAATCATATGGTGCCCAAGTGGGAGATTGTTGGATTTAATCTAATAAATCTATTTGTGGGCACATATGATTAATCAATGTGTATTGCTATCTTTCAGGATAACCCACTAAAGTGATCAATTAAGTTGGGTTAATGGGTATTTAAATATAATCATGGGGTTATATGTGCAGATACCAGGTTGTAATTGTGATTTATTGAGGGACTAAATTACAAAAGTATAACATCTATAAATAAGGGGTTATGGTCCCTAACCTAGGGTTAGATTCTCTAATTCTCTACACCTCCATCTAGCTAGAGAAATTCGGATTTAGAGAAACCCTAAGGTTAGAAGATCCAAAACTCATCTCAATGTTCATCCATGGATTCAGGTATAAGCTTCCGCTCTTTTGATTATTGTTAATCTCTTTGAATTAATCATGGCTATATGGTTTTAGATCTCAAGTTTATATGACGTAGATCTAACAACTATGACATGCATTCTTATTTAATTTGGAAAATGATTGGATGGTATCTCTATTTTTTTTATGCACGCGTCGTACGCGTATACGTTAGCTCCTCCTAAAGTATTATCGCAAGTTAAAACTGACAGAGTTCGATTTATACGCAGCGGTGCACACCTACGTCTGAATAAAAAATATAAATTACTCGACAACTGCTATATTGTATGCCCTTCAAGATACAAATTGTAGGCGCAGACCACCCAAAAGAACAGGGGAAAAAAATTACATCAAAGTCCATTAGCATGCATTATCCTTCACTTGTATTTAAAAGACCATATATAGTCCCCTTATATAATAACTAGCTGTGACGTGACCCCTGCCGTTATATCTTGATCAAAGAACCAAAACCAGACCGTCTTGTCCTGCAGCGAAACGGAAATATTTGCTGCGATTATCTTTTTGTTCAGCACGCTCGAACATTTCCTCTTTATGAGGCTAATCTGGAAAAAAATATATATATACATGTTAAATGTTATCATCATAACACTTAGATATGACTTGAGCCTAAGAACGTGCGCACTTGGTAATACGAACCTAACAACTGAGAAATGATATCCTCGTCAGAATTTATCCCAGCTAGAATCTTTGCCGGAACTCCCGAAACCAAACCCACCAAAACCGCCTGAATCAGAACTCCCAGAGTTTTTTGGTCGCCCAAAACCCGAACCTGAACTGCCAAAGTTTCCGAACCCTCCAGAATCTCTGGAGCTTGAGTTTCCAAATCCACCACTTCGGTTTGACCCCGAACTACCACCAAATGAACCAAATCGATCAGACCCAGAATCACCAAAACCACCCATTCGTCCTGAACTACCACCATATCCACCACCACCGCCACGAGATCTTCCAAAGCCTGAACTGCCACCACCATATCCACCGCCGCCGCCGTATCCACCACCTCCACGGCTAAAACCACCACCACCACCCATCCGGCCACCACCCATGCGACCGCCACCACCAAATGAACCCATGCCACTGAAAAAGTCTTCACCTCCACCCTCTACCGTAATAGTAGGAAGCTGATAATGTACATATACATGGATAAGTAACAAAAGTACAGAATAGCACAATCTAATGAGATGCGTGTACAATGGGAAAAAAAAACTTGCTCAATGGGCAATCAGAAGGTGGGGAGGAACAGGTATTATTACTGAGATTAATATAAAAAAAAGCAGCATTAAGTGCCAGTTTATATTATATTTGGAAAGCTAGAAATAAATCGGTGTTTAGAAAAATTACTCCTGAGATGGGTACTATATTGGGGGAGAATAAGTTTCTCGTCAAAATTCAGATGAGTAGAGTTCAGAAGCTGGTGAATTATTTGGAGACAAGAGCATGGTGTGTGAAGCACGATTTGCATCCTCAGTTTTTGACCAAAGGATGAAAGCTGATATGAGTTCTTTGGTAAATAGCTGTTTTTTTTCAACGGTTTATAGAACAATTTCTTGTATAGTTTGATAGAAGTATGAGAGGAAGCCTGCAGATGAATTTCACAATTGAAATTTCATACTTGGTTTTGAGTGAAGCTAACTTCCATGCCAAAAAGAATGAAATGTGTGTACTGAGAACAGCTACATGTAGGACTAAAAATGAATGGATCGAAGCACACTTTTTATACATTCAAAAATCTTAGAATACGCACGTACTCCAAATATTATAATATGTTTTATTACTATTTATAATTTATGAATATTAACTTATTTAATAAAGAAGTTATTTTTATTTGATTAAAGAGAGATTTTCTTTTGGCTTAAGAATTGGAGATTTTAATTAGCATAAAATTAAAGAAAATATTACATTATAACTATAAGCATAAATTTTCATTCGAATATTTAGTTAAAATTTGGTTCTGGACTCTTCAAGACTTCTACACAAATAAGTACGAATAATAGTCTAACTCCTTGATGATTATTCAAACAAGTGAAATGACTTTCACCCTGGCACCGGCAAACAAATGACTGTACAGATGACTGCAAAATTATCCAAGTTCATCTCAAAAAGATTAAGATATTTACCTCTGTAAACTTGCATCCAACATCATGCTCAATGCCCCTAACAGCTCGAGACTGCTCACGAGTATAGATAAGAATAGCACTTCCTTTTTTTCCAGCTCGCCCTGTACGACCAGACCTATGAACAAAAGTCTCAGAAGTGTTTGGCAATTCATAGTGTATCACCTGAGAAAGAGAATGCTATCAGTGTACTGTTTGTTTCTCATTATTCATTAAAAACAAGCCGTATTATACACAGCTGTAGAGGCATCGTAAAGCTGAAGTCATAAAAATCATTCAAACCTATGAAAGAATTTCATGTATCAGGCCATAAAGCTTGATTAGACAATGAAATGAAAAAATCAATTTTTTCCCGATTAGCATTAATAATTATTAGCAGAGAAGCAAGTAATATCGTTAGTTTGGTTACCATGCATAAATTTATGTAAGCGAGAGAAACAAGTCACAGTGATCGATGGCATTAATAAATTTATAGTACTCAGGAATAGCATATATTTGAACATTAGATTGTTCCGTGCATCAGATCAGTAGATGAATTATGCTGCAAAAACTCTTCTTTTAATATCCCTATAACAAAAGTATCATAGTTCCCCATAGCCACCTAGCATCTCAGTTCACGAAAAAATGGCTGACGAACTCTAGCTTTCTGAAGGGGGGTCAATTTTCAAGAAACAACAAGCCAGGGAGTTTACCTAAACAGATTCTTCTCTTACTTTAGGAATAAAACAATATTATCTCCATAACCTTTCTAGTCTCTAGAAAATTTAGCATTCCGTAAAGTACTTTACCAAAGTCAACCATAATATATTCACAGAATGACGGGAAATTTTCTTGTACAATTAGGGATCAAAAACATCAATTCACAACCGTCTTATATCACACTTGGCTCGCTATATTTAACAAGGTATGGATGAAAAGGAAGCATACAGAACAAGCAATACATCAAGGTTTGTCCTGTTCAACAGTCTCTTCATAGGCCAGCATGCTGATTACCATGACAATTAATAAACTTGAGGTAAACAGGATGAATTCCCATAAAAATTGGAGGAGAAAAGCAAATTAAGTATTAAGTGGATTACAAATGTCATATGATCGTTATTGAAATGAACATGTAAACTAAACTACCAAACACTCACCAGATCGACATTTGGTACATCCAGTCCACGGGCAGCAACATCAGTAGCTACCAAAATATTAAAGCGACCATCACGAAAGCCAGCAAGTGTTCTTTCCCTCTGGTTCTGTGAAATATCCCCATGGAGAGCCTCACATCCAAAACTCCGAGACATTCCATAAGCTAACTTATCAGCGTCACGCTTTGTTTGGGTGAAAATTATACATTTTCCTCCTTTAGCATGTTCCTGTTTGTTTTAAGGGACAAGGAAGATGTCAACTTCAAGTACTATTGCAGAAGGGACACGACGAGGAAGAACCGTCACTTAATCCTACCTTGACTAGAGGTCCAAGAATGGATGCCTTCCCATAACTGTCTGCTGCAATAGAATAGAGAGAAATACCTTCTGCTAACTTCTGATCATTCTCGCCGACCTAAGAAAAGAAAATCCCAAATTAGTCTAACTGATGACTAACATCTGCAGAGACACGGTTACTTGGAAGTTTGCAATGTACATGGAAGTATAGTGCATTTCGAACAGAATAAAATGTTCAGAAAAGTGCAAAACATATCGTCGTTTTATATCCCCAAAAAATGTATAATTGGAAAGATGGGGTGGCAGAAAGCAAAAAAAAAAGACAATATTGGCCTGATAAAGGGCTCATTATGAAGAGAGCTACTATAAAAAGATAATAGGTTTGACAAAACATAAAAAGTACAGCAAACAAGACAGAATTTGAATCTAAGTTGTGGAGGCAGACGAAATGAAGATACAAAAGATTGGAGTACAGTTAACGATTAGCACAAACAATGAGCAACATAATAAACTGAAGTAAACCACACAGAAGGTGATGGTCAAAGCATATAATCAATACAAAATTGTGAATATAGCAGAGACGCATAAAAAACAAGCAATTTGAATTAGCAATGTTCAAAGTAAGAAACATCAGCATAGTTAGAAGAATTCAAGTACATATAACAACTACAGGCAATATTATAATGCGTCCACGAAGTTATATAGAGCCAACTGCAATCTACAAAATTCTTAGGACTAACAACTAACAAGTAACACATAAGTCATTATAAGCAAGTGAAATAACATCAGATGTAACAAAAATAGCACAGGAAGAGGGGTAGAATACTCACGAGGTCAATAGTAAGTGGGTCTTTTAAGTACTTTTGCGTAAGCTTTTTTATCCATGTAGGCATTGTAGCCGAGAACATCATACTTTGCCGCTTTGGGGGCAAATTTTCTAGGATGTTCTCCACATCTTCCTCAAAACCAACAGCAAGCATTTGATCAGCTTCATCAAGGACAACAAACTGAACTTCCTTCAAATTTAAGGCTCCTCTTTTCAGTAGATCAATAATACGCCCAGGAGTGCCAACCACCACATCAACACCATAATCAAGAGTCCTCATTTGTGATTGTATTGGCACACCACCATAGACACAAAGTGTGTCCAAAGGGGAAGATTCTTTAAATTCTTTCTCAACTTGCTTAGCAAGTTCTCTAGTTGGTGCTAAGACTAAGGCTAGAGGGTTTCTTCCACGACTGCGTATTTGAAAAATAAATAAATACGCAAATAATATTCCTTGAATTCTGCATGTCATAATATGAAATAGCATCAGATCCCACAGTGACAAGCTTACCCATTTTTCCTCTGATCCTGTAAGATTTTATCCATAATGGGTATTCCAAAAGCAAGAGTTTTCCCAGTCCCTGTTTTTGCCCGACCAATCATATCACGTCCCTGCATTGCTGGCTCGAGAACAGCTTTCTACACAATAAGCAAAAACCAAAAAATCAATAGCATTCTTTCTAATAAACATTAAGAGCCAATACCATAACCGAGTATCTTTTATATTTTCAAGGGCTTTCCTGAAAATTTATTACCAATTAACTTTCTAATAGGCTTGATATAAGCATCTAACAACAGAAAATGATATGTAGCATAACCAGAACTTGCTGGTTTTGGGTAAGGATTCATCGGGTTTTCCATGATCATGACAAACATTCAGGCTCAAACATCAACTTAAAACTTGAATAAAAGAATCAGGCTTTTGGACACCTAAGCATAACCCACTCAATGCCGACACTGCTTATAACCCGGTTTACTGTTTCATTCAATAAACATAAGCAAAATAACAAGTTGACAACCCCAAGAGGAAAATTGTTCTACTGAAACTATTAATTATACAACCAAGCAGTAAGTTAAGCATTTTACCAGATATCTGACAATTTTTTCCCCACAAATATAGCATAAAATGAACAGCTTTCAGCAATCATCCAAAAGTCCCCAAAACAAAATCATCACCTGAATAGGGAAAAGCTTGGTTATTCCCTTCTTTGCGAGTTCACCAACAATACTCTGATCAATCCCAAGCTTAGCGATCTCAAGCCCCTCGTCATCTCCCCCTTTCGTCGAACTCACCACCTTCTCCTCCTCAAAATACCTCTCCTCCATCGCGAACCCAGCTCGAGCGACATCCGAAGCCCTAAACCCCAAGCTCCTCGTACCCAAATGAAACCCTCTGGCCCTGATCTCAAAGACTCCGCCTTTCTTCGATCCATGGAGGTGATCGAGGCTGGAGATCGAGGAGGGGGCGGAGGTGACGGATTCGGAGGGGATCAAGCGCAGGAGGGCGGCTAGGGTTTGGCGTGACGATGAAGGGGCGGCGATCGAGGCGGATCTCCTTAATAGAGCGTTCATGGTTGCGGAGTGCGAAACCCTAATTTTTTTTTTTTCCCGGGTGAGTGGGGGGCGAGAGAGAAAGAGAGAGAGAGATAAACCCTAGAGGACGGCTAGGGTTTTGGGAGCAATGGAGACGAAAGAGGGTTTAAGGGGAGGAGGAAGATATTTGTTCGTGAGGGGTAGAATCGGAACTTCACCTGTGAGTCAAGTAATGGGCTAGAATTGTTTTGAAGTGGACTCCACTTTTACACGTTTGTTTGTTGTTTTATCCTCTGGGCCCAAAGTAGGAGGCCCAATTAGCCCAGAAGTAGAGAAACTGAAAATGTATAATTTCACATCGTAGCGTGGATAAATTGCATACGACTCACCTTATCTACATGTTTACTAGTATATATGGATCTTATAAGATGGGAAACAAAATTCTTTAAAATTATTTAAAATTCTTTAAAATTTATATAATGCGAGTAATTAATGACTAATATGTGCAAAATGTCAGTGTAACCGAAAAGAAAGGGTTGCACACTCACATGATAGTTAAGTATAAGCACTTGATAGAGCATCGAATATTACTATTGTTTCGTCATCTGTAACAAATAGCATTCACTGTGTAAATTAGGGGAATGCGTACCGATTATGCTTAGTGGAGCGAGGGAGGGCTAGAGACAGGTCGTTTGAGACAGTTTGATCCAAAGCAATTAAGAAAAGCATGATCGCGATCGAAACGAAATGATGCGAAGAAAGCTAATTTTAGCACTATTACCATCGATGTTGCTTGGAGGATATTGATGGTTCTAAAGGTCCATTGATTGTGCACATGTCCAAAGACATTCAAATCATCGATGGTGCTCGTCAACCATCGATGGTCACTCGCCCCATCAATAGTCGAGAGCAACCACCAATGATATATTCGGGTGATTGAGATTTTGATGATTTATTCTCAACCTTTTGTTGCTCATATGATCTTCATCCTCTCCCCCGTTTTTGAAAACTCTTTCCTGACCTAATTGTGAGAGAAATAGATAGTTTTTTTTTTTTTTTTTTTTTTGGGGGGGGGGGGGATGAGTTCTGGGTTTTGATTATGGAGATCAAGATGTGCTTTTTGATCCCGGAGAATTGCTCTTGGTTTGTTCTTCATCCACATTCTTCATCAAACTTTGCTTACACACTTTGAAGGACGGTTTGTTTTATTGAAAAGATGTAAGATCATTTCAGTTTTGAACATATTTGATATTTAATTTTGTATTTCATTGAACTTCTTTTACAATGTACTCAAGCCGGTTGAATTGAGAGTTAGGACTAGAGCTATGAGTTACTCATTGTGAGAGTTAAGTTAGACATCTACTTTCGGGTAGATACTAATATGCGGTCTTGTAAGACTACTGAATTAGATTTGTGATTCAGATGAACTCTTTCATATTGAGGAAACCCTTTGCGAGAACGAATAGTGGATGTAGGATTGTTTGTCCGAGCCACTATAAAATTTCTTATGTTTCTTGTTTGGTTGTGTTTGTGATATTTGTATTGCTTACTATCATTTATCTCTTTAATTTGCTATATTCCGCTTCATATTCTGCGTTTTGGTGAAAAACGGTAGGCAATTATATTCACCAACCTCTAAGATCGCATCTCAGATCCACAAGTGGTATCAGACACTTGTTACCCATCCTCAGGATTCACAACTTAAGATAGAGATGTCTCGTTTGATGATCACAATAGCTTTCCCTGAGGGACAAGCTATCAGTCGTCCTCCACTTTTTGATGAGCCAAACTATGCCTTTTGAAAAGCATGCATGAAAGTCTTTTTGTTGTCTACTGATTTTGATGTTTAGAGTGGTGTTAAGATCAGCTATAGTGAACCCACTATCGTTGTTGGTGAAACCACCATAGTCACTACTAGAGATAAGTGGACCCTGCTAAGAAAAAAATTATTCTTTGAATGCAAAAGAAATGAGTACTCTTTACTATTTTTTAACTGCTGAAAATGTTAACCATGTGTCTAATTATTCTACTATGCAAAAAATTTGAAAAACTTTGAAAGTTACACATGAAGGGACTTCAAAGTTAAAGGAGCTGAAACTTACGATGCTCATGAGTAAGTACAAAAACTTCAAGATGAAGGCCTCGAAAAGTGTCCAGGACATATTCACCCTATTTACAGAGATTGTGAATAAGTCAAAGGCTTCAGAAAAAGAGTACGATAACAAAGAGCTAGTGAGAAAAATTCTTCATTCACTTTCTAGTAATTGGGAGCTAGATCTAATGACTATTGAGGAATTCCAAAATTTTTTCTGAACTAACTCTTGAGAATCTTATAGGAAATCTTCTCGTATATGAAGTGTGATTAAAAGAAAGAAAAGATGATTCGAAAGATAACTCCTAGAAGAAGGCGTTAGTTTTGAAAGCCAAAAAGGAGAAACTCTGCCCTAAAAAGAAGAAAAAAGTCAAATTCAAGCTTTGAAGGTGAAAAGAATCGAGTGGGACTAATCGTAAAAGGGTTCAACTCCTTTCTCAAAATTAAAAATTGTCATAAGTATCTTCAGAATAGACAGAATCAGTTCAAGAGTAAGGTGAGCGGCTATTCTTCTAGTGATTCTGAAAGTGAACCTTGTAGAAAACGAGGTCACTATAAGTACAAATGTCCATCGAACAAGAAGGACAAAAGCGATGAATGCAAGAGTTTGAAGGTGATAACATACGATATGACAAGCGATGATGAAAAATACATATTTTTTAGGCTAGCATCTCAGATCCACACTAACTATATTATTGATATTATGTCGTCAAGTTATGACATGATTTTTTTTTAATATCACAGTTTCCGTTATGATTTTCTTCCACGTTGAAAAAAAAAGAGCCAAGGATTCGTTCACCAAGAGGTTTTTGTTTTCTTGGAATGAAAATCTTGAAGCTCAAGTTACCTTTTTTGTAAAGGGAAAAGATATGGAAACCCACAAAGGACCACCAAAATCACCAAAATCTCTTTTCGGCCCAGCCACTCATTCACCAATTGGTAAGCCTTGAGCTTGAATTCAAGATATGAGGAATACGGAGAGGAGCATGCAAAATGGTTATTATTGCTATTACTTTATTCACTAAAGCCCAAAAAGGAGAGAAAAAAAGAAACATTAGACTTTTTGAAAACACAATGATGATGGCGGTTTGAAAACTTAAAATACCAAAACGCCAATACTATAATAGTGGAATTATAAAGAAAAGAAAAAAGAAAAGAAAAGGTGAGAAGAAATTCTGAAGCTACAAAAGCCTACAAATGCCACTTTCAAACATGAAGGAATAAAGAAATATATAAAATCATATTTAATAACAAAAGTCCTAGAGGGTTAGGTGGTTCTTTTTTTTTAATTTTTTAAACTCTATACTTTAATATTTCCATTTGAAAATCAAACAACATTTGCTATTGTCAATTTGAATTATTGTTACTCAAATACTATTGGCATCCATCACTGCAACTAGATTGAAAAAGGATAACATGGTCTAAAGTAAGTTCACTTATTTATTTTTTCTAATTCATTTGTTTTGTTGTAAATTCAAATATGTGAGCAAGAAAATACCCTTCTCTACCTTCTTCTTCTACTTTTTGGTTTCTGATTCAAATATGTGTGAACACCGTGCAAAACACGACATATTTACAGTTCCATGTTGCAACAGTGAATGCTACTGTAGTGTGAATAGTGAATCTTGGATGCTCCTGTTTGTATAGAGGAGTAGATTCAAAATTTGTTCTACAAAAGTTTATTGGACAAGATGGCGAGTGGATTGTGGTCCATGGGCCAAAAGATGTCACTAGCGCTTTAGAACACCACGTTGGATAGAATGTAAGGGACACAGAAGAGAAGATTATTTTGTTGGTATCGGAGAAGACTTCATAATTAATCTTATCTTGAAAAGATACGTGCACATCATGTGTGTTGAGTGCTTGAATGTCAACAATACATACTCCAAGCTTTTTGAGGTGCTAGCTATTGTTACATTTAGACTTTGCTTCGGCCACACAAGCTAGCCATAAGCTAGCTAAACTTTAAAGATGAGGCAATCATTCTTTAGTCCAAAGCACATAACCAACATAACCAACTTGCAAAGGGCTTCAATTCCTTGTGGACCTATCACGGAGTATTTAGCATAACAAACTCGGTTATTATTAGTGTAATGAATTTGAAAAAAGCATTTTTGGATTAAAGGGTAGTTATAGATATAACGAAAGGTATATATGCATGAAATGAATATATATCAACACGTCCTGAACACCGTGAAGTGTTCGCTAGTATCACCTAGGTATGTCGGTGTGTATCAAGGTTTGTATATCGTGTCATAAATAAACAATAGTTTAAACATTAGATGGATACCAATTAAATTAAGTTGTTCTTCAATACCTGTTGCGCGCCTATGCGGAAGCGTGCTCACACACCAAACGAATCTGTGATCACGGGAGAAGAGAACCAACCACACACGAGCACAATTCAAACCAAATACGACAAATCAAATGTGATCACGGGAGAAGAGAACCAACCACACACGAGCACAATTCAAACCAAATACGACAAATCAAACCAAACACAGAGATATACGTGGTTCGAACACGAGCACAATTCAAACCAAATACGACAAATCAAACCAAACACAGAGATATACGTGGTTCGACAATTTGCCTACGTCCACGGGGAGAAGATGGGGAGATTCCACTAAATCAAGGAGAGTACAATGCGTTACAATCTCACAAAATCACTCACATCAACCCTAAACCAAATCTCTCAATTTTCTCACAAGTTATCCCCCTCAATATGCTCAGTACAATCTAAAATCTCTGTTAAGAAACCCTAGAAAATCGTGTTTCAATTTATATCAAACACAAACACAATGCGAACAGGAAACCAAACTCAGGCCCAGCACGACTCGCGGTCGATCGCAGAGACACGTGCAGTCGATCGGACAGAACGACAGAGACTGAAAAACATTACAGGGTTTGACCGGTCGACCGTCGCGCCAATCGCAGTCGATCGCGAAAAGTCCAGAGACTTTCTAGCTTGCGTGCACGTTTACGATCGACCGCCACGCTACTCGCGGTCGACCGCTGAAAGTCCAAACTTGTTTTCTACCATTTTTCATGTATTCTCTTCAATTCT